ATTGTGTAGAGCGGGTAGGTTCCCTAGGGGGCGCTGTCTGTGACGGTTCTCAGTCATCCAGGTCATTGAAGTCTAATGAGCTTTGAAAGAAAAGCGTCTGGACTTCTTTGAGTTGCTTGAAGACGTTTCACCTCTCATCCACGAGGCTTCTTCAGTTCTAAGGTCAAATGGTGGAGAGTCCCAGATTTAAACCCAGTGGGAGTTTCCCCCCGAAGAGGGAACAAAAGACCCCCTGATGATCTTCTACATAAACACATGAGCCAAGGTGTGAGGGTGGGTGTGGGTCCTATTCAGCCAGAGTTTCGGGTGAGCTCATTGTGAAACCTGGCCCCACCCTATCATGTGAATTCCGGAGGTCAGGTGGCCCAGGATATGCTTGGGCGTTGAGGCATCTGGGAAGGGATCTCAAAACTGGATTATAGATGGCAGACAGTTGGTGTCGTAAACCTCCGCTTCTGTTCAAAGATGGCTGTTCACAGTGGACATAAATGGCTTCCTTTACTCCTCTTTCAAACCATCTGTCCTCTCTGTCCAAAATGTGAACGTTGGCATTCTCGAAAGAGTGATCTTTGTCCTTTAGATGCAAATGAACTGCTGAGTCCTGTCCCGTGGAGGTGGCTCTTCTATGTTGTGCCATGCGCTTGTGAAGTGGCTGTTTGGTTTCTCCGATGTAGAGGTCTGGGCATTCCTCGCTGCACTGTACATCATACACCACATTGTTCAGTTTGTGTTTAGGAGTTAGGCCTAGGGGGCGCTCATTACCTGCTTAGCAGCTGTTAGCTATTTTCTGTGTCGGTAGGAAATCTAAAGGCTAGCAGTTAGTTTTGGGTTTTTTTCAGCTAGAGGAGGATATGAAATCACAGGCTGATTGTGACCTGGCTTTGTTGCTACTGGACTTGTAAGTAATAATATTTTTTGTCCAACAGTGTGGATCTTATATTTGTGGCTTGTTTAGTATCACATGGGCCATGTTAGTGTTAGCTCGTCGTTAGCGCTAGCTACAGCAGAATGCTGCATGTTTGTTTGACAGTTGTAATTCCATTTTTAACCAGCAAGATGGAGAAGCTGGAAACAGTTTAGTGTTGCTTTAAGTTCCTGCCCTGACCTCTACAGCAGAATGAATCATTATGTGAACCTAGAATGTTGACTAATAGAGTTGTGTATCCACAAGAGGGAGCTGTGAATAAACGAGAATGCAATCCAATACCTAGCATGCTCTACAGGTGATGCAGACGCATCATTAAGCTAACACACCAACCTAGCTTGAATGCTAACTTGATCTAAACTGAATTAATGCCCATCTGTCAGTGTTTGGATTAAGTTAATGACCGGATGCAGTCAAACGTCCTCCAGTTAAACAAAGACGAGACTGAAGTTATTGCCTTTGGAAAAAGGAGGACAGGATGGAGGTTATTGCTCATCTTGCAGCCAGAGAAATAAAGGCAAGGACCCAGGTTAGAAATCTTGGTGTCATAATCAGTGATGGGAACAACGCCATTTAAAATAACGGCGTTACTACAATAGTTTTTTCAGTGACGAGTAATTGAATTTATTACTTTCTTCTTTTATCATAACACCGTTTCCGTTACTGATAAGAAAATGCGTGCATCACCAATTCAGCAGCGCGGTGTGTTGAAGCCGTCATCAGCTGATTGGGAGCTAAAGAGGTGGATGTTTTCATCCAAGTGCATCACGGTCCGTGAAGAACGAGGAAGACGTGATGAATAGTTGCAGCTGCGTGATTCTGCAGCCATGCTCTTTGTGGCGTGACAGCAGGATGTCCTGAAGGCAAGGGGTGGCCAGGGGTGGCAAAAAATTGCTGCCCCCCCCCCCCCACACACACACACACACACAGGAAAAGCCAGTGTTAACAAATCATATCAGTGTTCAGTCAAACCATATATTGATCTTGTTTATTCAAGACGTATGTAATTGTAAAGCAAAATGAAAATATTACAATTAGTGAGTAAAGAAATATTCAGAATATAAAAAATACATATGTGTCTACTGCTCACCATAAAAAAAGTTTTTAGCTCCATAGTTGTTGTTTTTTTTTTGTTTTGTTTTTTGCAGCAACAGGCGAATAGACCTAAAACAATACATTTTTAAATTAAGTTAGGGATAGCATTTTAAATAACTGAAATGTATTTTTCTGAAATGTTGGTGTTTGTAAAATGTAAGTTAAATGTTTTGGATACGTACTGTTATCAGGTGTTATTAGAGCTGCCTGTGTGTCTTTACCACCCAGCTTCAGCTCTTCTGTGTTTGGGTCTGACCCACGTTAGTACATCAGATTTGTGTCTCTTCTAGTGTCATTTTAAAGGGATTTTATTTATTTGTTTAAGCATTACTAGATTACCAGTAACAGAAATGCAAATAAAAACACACAATTCTGTGAAGCTGGAAAAATTAGAATGCTGTGCAAAATTACATTTTTTTTCAGTCATTTAACTAGACTGAGAGACCATTTAAAGGCTCAGGAACCCTTACAGCTGTTTCTGTTTGTTATTATAAATTTGAGCTGATTGGGGTCTTATTAAATATCACACAGTGACATTTTAATAGTCTAGATTAGAGTAATGTTCCTGTTTGTAGTTCCTCCTGTTAAGTACCCATTTATTTAAATTATTCAGTTTTATAAAAAAAAACATTTGGACATAAATTTTATAATGTTCCAGTCATTAGTCACTTATATTTCACTGTTGTAGTAAGTTATAATAAATTAAGTAAGTTTAATTAAGAGGGGAACCCATTTTTCTGGCATTATTTAATGAAAAAAAGTTATTTTCTTGGTAATTAGTTACTTTGATAATCTTGTAACTCAGTAACTGAGATACTGTACTTTTTTGACAAAACAATCAATAATTATACCTAATAACTTTTTTAAAGTGACATTCCCAACACTGGTCATAATTGATTCAGACCTGAGCTTCACTGGTCACATTTTGTCATCTTCATCAAATAGGATGACTCAGGGGTCTCATGTCCAGAACAGACCTAGAGAAGCTCATTCATGCGCCTATGTCCAGCAGGCTGGACTATTACAATGGTCTTTTGACTGGTCTTCCCAAATGAGCCGTGAAGAAACTGCAGCCTGTTCAGAATGCTGCTACTAGAGCCTTAACAAGAACCAAGAGAACTGAGCACATCACTCCTGTTCTTAATTCTCTACACTGTTTATTAGGGATGCACCGATGGATCGGCATTTGATCGTAATCGGCCGATAGCGCCCCTATCGGTTTTGATCGGAGTTTTCAAAATAGATCAAAGCAGACCGATCAGGTAGGGTTGTCACGGTAACCAGTGTAGCGGTAAACCCCGGTAAAAAAGTTGACAATAATAATAACCGTCTTGTTTTAAAAAAACTATATTATCTCGGTGGATTACCGTGGCTGCGGTGTAGGCGCGGTGACCCTTACCAGCCACCGTATCATCTGCTGAAGTTGCCGGCGGCACATGCGCGCTTTGTTGTTTACAACCAAAACTTTCTTGAAGCTAAAGCTGAAATAATGGCCAAAGGAGGGGAAGGCAGTGCTCAGGAGGACATTTTTTATCCCTCAAAGAAGACAAAGTCGGAAGTACGGGCATCTTTTGGATATTTGAAGAATGCCGAGGGACAGTTGATAGAAGACGGGCGGCTATCCTGTTTGCAGCATGTGCAGAAAAAGTGTCTGTGAAAGGCAGCAACGCTTCAAATCTCATGACACATCTGTGTGACCATCACCCACAACTTTACAGTCAATGCAAGGCAAGTTAACGTTAGCGCTTTAGCTAAAATGCGTGGTCCGAGGATTTGGGTTGAGGGAGAATTCAACGAGTCGCTATATAAAGCAGCTGCAGCGCCGCTACCTGCATATAAACCGTGTCACGGACACCCCCATGTTGAAATGACGCTATGCATTACGGGGCTCCCAGGGGCGGATAAGAGTTGGTCTCTCTCCGAGAATAATTATGAATTTAACAATGATTACTGCCTGATGACATTTTCCCACATCTGCAAAGCTCACTTGAAGGACACAAACCGAGGACAATATTTTCCTGATATAGGGTTTATTACTCAAGTAAGGGTAAAAAAAGTATCTGATTAGAAGGCTACTTGAGTACTGAGTATCATCTGAACTAATATTTTTAAAATGATGACATCAAACAGACATAAAATAAGAAGTTATGGGCAAATATTGCTATTTTAAAGACTAAAGGGGAAATATGTAAACAAATAAACAACATAATTACAAAATAACACATTTTAGGCAAAATTTAGACACAAACTGAGGACAATATTTCTGGCATACAGGGTTTATTTAATTGTGTATAATTGTGTATTAAATGTAGCACGTTTAAAAAAAATACCGCGATAATACCGAAAACCGTGGTAATTTTGGTCACAACACACCGTGACAACCTTAATACAGGCCATTTTAGATTAGGTTACATTTCCTTTATTCCCAGATTATGTAGTTTGTAGCACTCATTATAATGTAGAAAATTTCTGGCCAATCCACGTGATCGGTATCGGTGATCGGCAACAAAAAACCTGATCGTGCATCCCTACTAATCATAAAGGATTTTGATGTCACAGTCAGTATTTTAAAGTTTTGATTGGAGCTCATGTCTCACTGAACCACACTTGGATTGAATCCATGTCAGACTGCAAAGCTGCATATAAAATTTGAATTGTTACACGTAGCTGAAACCCTTCTCAGTCTAGTTTCAACAAATTAGAAAGTGTGAAAAATGACAACTTTGGATACCAGCTTGCACCAACGGCCCAGTGAGAAACTGGATTAGACACCAAATATTGTTTGTTTTAGATGATTTTATGATTCTCATAATCATCACACCAGATAGGAGTAGAACTCCACTGTTCTAAGCTGCATCAGCATCAAAACCAGTGTGTTCTGTTTGAGTGCTCTAACCTCTAACTGGCAACTGAAGAAGCTGTTTTCTTCTCCTTTTCATGTGGTGTTGTCGTCTCGCTCTGCTCTGGTGTTCTGATCCAGGTGAGTACCAGCTCTCTCTCGCTCTCTCCCTCTCTCTCTCTCTGAGCCCTTCTTCAGTTTCGGTGTCGGGCTCTTGATTGTTCCACCAAGGGACCCTTCATCCTGCCCCGACACCCTGTCATTATTTTAATCAAATGCAATTACCACCACACTGGGGACAATTGAGTTTTGTTGAATGCCCTTTTTCAGCCAGCTCCAGCCTGTTGCCCCTGTGGCCTACTACACACACACACACACACACACACACACACACACACACACACACACACACAGACAACAACTGTTTTAGACAAGGGAGCAAGAGTTAAGAGTGTAAAGGCCAGGGAGATAAGTGGGCACAAAGTGATGAAAATGCACATTGTACTGTTGAAGTTTTCCCCGCCACCATCTCTGCTTTGGGTTGGAGGGCGGTGGTGATGCCGGGGTGGAGGACGTGATTTAGGTGACTTGTGTTTGACCGCTTTGTTTGGGAGCAGCGATCTCTGTTTTGTTTTTGTCTGTGTGTGGTTTTGGCAAATCAAAGCAGAGGGGTATGATGGCCTTATGATGAAGAGGAGTCAGACTGACCACTGTTGTGGTGAAGGGTAAAAAGATGAGGCAGGTCTTTGCAAATGTTGTGTTTGCGTTGTTAAAAATGTGTTTTCGGGTCATTTTAGAAGAAAGGAGATTACTTGATAGTGGAGGAGGTCATGTATGTGTAAGGGGAGGGAGGTGTAGGTGGTGGAAGCTGAATAGGCTCCTGTGTCGTAATCACCAGGCCGACTCCCTCAGGACAGGGGAAGAGGAGCAGGATAAAGACCGTAAGTGTTCTGAAGATGTGACCACCACAGCACCACTTCTGCCCACAAGGCACAAGAAAGAAACAGATCTGTCATCTGCCAGACATTACCCCAACGCCCCCCTTCTAGCGCCTCTACTCTTCCTCCATCTCACTCTCATCCGCATCACCCCCACCTCCACCCGCTCCATTCCCACAACTCACTTGAGTAAGCCAGACAGATGATAACCCAGCAGATCCCTCAGTGACCCTTTCCTGGAAGCAGAGGCTCATCAAGCACTCAGAAACTGAAGTAGGGTCCCATGAAGTTCATTTGATTTTATCCAAACTTTTATTTTTACACTCAATGTTTTATGTTGGAGGCACATTTAATGTAATTAAAATTGCAACAATTAAAAAAAAAACACTTAAAATGTTTATAAATATCGACAACTTTCAGTAAAGGCTCACTTAGACAAAACAACAAAGTTATTAGAGGAATACTTTGCAACTTTTTCATATTTTTTAATCATTTTCATGAGCCAGTATGTGCTAAAATTTTCCTTTTCAGATTTTGTGAAATGTCACTCAAACCCTCACAGCCCTTTGGTGGCCAGAATATCTCATTTGCAACTTCAGAGTGCCGATCCGGCCCCTGTTGGACTTAGACAAATAAATGATCGGGCATACCTGGCACAGCAGTCTGGTTCCAGCACATTTCTTGCATGTTTAGATCATGAATGCAGCTGATTTGTTTGATTTAGTGATGAACCATTCGTGTAGACACTAATGAAGGCCAGGGAGACCTTTTAGCAGTTAGATTAAGGTGTTAAAAAGACTAACACACAGTAAGGACAGTTTGGTTCTACAAACTAACACTTAGAGGTGCTAAAAGCAAGCAAACTGCCTAGTACCCCTTAAAAGTCTGTAAACAATAAAGGCACACTTGACAGTTTTTCTTGCTTTAGCACCCCCTAGTGTTCATTGTTCATTATCTGTGATCAAAACAAAAGTGAAAATTATCTCCTCACTGGGCATTTGTCTTTAACGCCTTAATCTAACTGCTTAAATGTCTCCCCAGCCTTTCTTGGTGTCTACAGATGTTCTTCATCACTAAATTAAACTAATCAGCTGTGTTCATGATCCAAAACATGCATGAAACACGCTGGAACCAGACTGCAGCCACCTCTCTAGTACTTACCTCCAGTAGGTCAACTCCATTTTTTCGAAGTCCACACAGAGCCGGCTGCCAGTCTGAAGTTGCAAATGTGGCATTCTGGCCACAGAGGGCGGTGGGGGTCTTGGTGACATTTCATTAACCCTGCGAAGGGTCATTTTAGCACATCCTGGCTCAAGAAAACGGTTTACAAATATGAAAAAGTAGCGTAGTATGGCTTTAAACTAAAACATCTTTCTTTTGACATCATTGCAGAAGTCATTGGGCCTTATGTAGGACTTAGACACTAAGCCTGTGTAGAAACCAGAGGACCTTTGGTTGGGACAGTGAGAAGGTGCTCAGCCTCTTCTATAGTATGGGGGCTATGAAAGTACGACACACCAACAGAACTGGGGAATTCCTCATGCATATTAACCAAACATGAAATGGGTGTGTTTCCAGTGTATGGGACAGTGTGTTCCCAAAAACCGTTGATTCTAATCCACACGTGGAACCTCCTACTACTTCATGTGTGCCTCCATCAGAGGAGGGTAGACTGGGAGGCAGCGATGCCGATATTAAACAGGACAAGACATTAACACTCACCAGTGTCTGTATCCCACCCTCTCTCTCTCTTGCTCTTGCTCTCTCAAATGCCCTCTCCTCCACAGTCTCCCTCCCACTGTCCCTCTCCTTCCACTAACATGGTGCTGGCATTCCCTGGAGCTGTAGTACACTTACAGGATGCTGGGGAAAGTGCTACGATGAGCAGGCACAGCAGCGGGAGACAGAGCAATGTGAGCTGAAGAGAGCTTTCTTGGCAGTAAAATAACTGCAATGACTTAAGCTGAGGATCCGCAGGCAGCCTGCTTCACGCCCTAGTACTTACCTCCAGTAGCTTCTAAAAGCTATCTTCTCGTGTAACTTGTGTCTTTTATTTGTGTTTTGTTGTCCTTGTGTTGTTTGGTGCACCCATAAACGGAGTTAAGGTTGGTTTATGCTTGACGCGTCCGCGAGGTCCGCACGGCTCCGCGCGGAAAAGTTGCGTCATTTTAACAACCACGCCCCTCCACCGCGCTTCCGCACGGCCCAAAATTTCCGCAACGCGCACCTAGGAAATTTTCTAACCACGCGGACGGTCGGACGTGGAAAGACATGGCGGACCGGCAAGAACTAGTATGGCAGAGGTTCGTAAATACAGACATTTGTATGATTCAGCTCTCAGAGATCACAGTGATCAACATGTTGTTAATAATTCTTGGAGAGAAATAGCTCGCACTGTCGGAAAAGAGAAGGACTCTGTTAAAAATGCTGGAATGTCATGTTGTAAACAGTTATTTCTACTTCTACTATGGTGTAGTGTTGGATGCATGCCGTAGAGCTCCATGCTGCCCCCTACAGTTTGGGAGAATATTGGCTCACCGCAGAGACAAGCCGCATGAACCATAAACGCTGCGAGTTGTGAAGCGCGTTCCAGCCGCGAGCCGCATCACCAAGCGGAAAGTGAATGCGTCAAGCATAAACCAAGCTTTAGTTAATGGTGCTAGTTCTGGTCTGGACTGGTTTAGGTATTTGGAGGAATCTAGGATGCTTTACTAGTTTTCATTTAGTGATCCTAATGTTTTACTTCTTAGATGATCCATGTGGGGTGAAGGTAATAAAAACTGTTCTGAAAGTGAACTGGCAAAATGACAGGGCCTGGCCATCTTTGTTGCTCATGCTTCATTTTCTATGGTTTCCTAATAAAAGACTAGAGTGAGCTCAGGCCAGAAATACAGCCTGCTCCATGCAGCACCAACGCTCAGCAGGTTTTCTTTTGAGCATAACATTAACACCCAGTGTACATATGTTAAGAGCCCTCTCAGACAGTACGCTGTGCAGTCAAAGCGAGGGATTTGTTCAAATTAGGCTCCCAAAGATCATGTAACATAAGTGGAAACAAATGTGGAGGCTTCTGCTGTTTCATTCAACTTTCTACCAGCTGACGTCTGAACTGCTCTGTAGAGATGAAGGCCTTGGCTCCCTAAAACACCAAAACTCTATTTGCCACACCTCAGAGTGGCTGAAGAGTCCTGGCTCTGAAAATGTCATCATTTATCCTCAGAGTGTGGAGAAGGGAACGTTTCTGCCTAATTCACAATGCTCATTGAGTTCAGCTCTGTTATTCATGGTAATGAATGGCAGCCAGAGGAACAGTGTCCTGTATCAAAGAGCCGAACTAACATGCCTTTCTCACGGAGCCAGAGAAGTGCTCCTTTGTCACAGCGGACGCCTGCAAACGACTCCCAGAATCTTGCAAAATATGCCCCATTGTTGGGGGAAGCCAACTCCGTTTACTGCTCTGAACAGACTCCTGCATTCCTGATGTCACCAGAACTAAGCTCTCCTCAGAAATCACCTGCAGTCATCAACTCTTAAGCTACCCTCTAGAAGCCTCATGGAGTCATCAGGACTAGGCCCTCCTCTAGAATCATCATAGAGTAATCAAAACTAAGATTTCATCTAGAAACTTCCTGCAGCCATCAGGACTACGCCCTCATTTAAAAACTTCCTGGAGCCATAAAAACTTAGCACCCCTCTAGAAACGTCCTGGAGTCATCAGGACAAAGCTCTTCTTTGGAAACATCAAACTTCCCCACAATATCAAACAGCTGTTTAACGAATCAGTGATGGATAATAACTTGCTAACTCTTTCCTGGTCTAAACTCCACCATATGGACTGATGTCACAGACTCCTCAGATGCCCTGGCGTGTTTTATTGCGTCATGTTTAACTTTAGTGTACTCTGACTTGGTAAAACACAAGTTGAGATGTGTTTTAAGTGAGGAGTCTGCGTCTTGCCGCCCTGTATGGAAGCGATTATGTGCATCAGCCACAGACTGTAGAGAACCATGTCACGTCCTTTTGGATGTGTATCACACAGCTTTGTTCTCCGTTTCTGATGAGGTGCTGTGGTGCCAAGGCTTCTTGTCGTGTTCTAGACCTTAAAATACAGACGGCCTTTGGGACAGAACCTCCTCTTATTGGCACAGCCTTGCACCAAAAAATCAGGGATGTGGTTGAGTCCATTCATTCGTTTGTCTTGTCTGGAAGATGTGGCGTTCTAGAGGAGCCCCTGTTCCTCTCTGGGTGGAGACACAGAGGGAGCTGACGGATTCTCTTTCTGTGAAATGGTGACAGTAAAATGGTGCTTGGGTAAAACAGACAGTTGAGTCCATTTTTAACGCCCCCAGCACCACCACCCCATTCACCACCCACTCCTTTTGCTCTCTTGGTTGTGTTGGAATGTTTTTTTATCATGGAGGAGGCAATTTTCTCAGCTCCAGTCTCTGCACGAGCGTACATCTTCAAGGGAGAGAGGAGCAAAGCTCAGGAAAGCATTTATTTATAGGTATCTGAAAGCTGCTGGGCCCTGAAACATTGGAGTGTGTAATGATGAGTCTTCTGAAAAGTAAAAACAAGCCCCCTCACAGCTAAATCCAGCTATTCTTGTCACTGACGTTAGCTCCCGGTTGTACTCCATAAAAGCTGTATTTTCACAACACCCCCTACCCCTGGCCCACTTTACCTGGTTAGCCAAAACAGTGTGGTCGGAATCCAATCAGTGGCCAGTGAATACATCTCTGCCCTGTGTCCCGGCTGGACATTACCAGGATTTGGGATTACAGACGTCACTTTGCATAACTTGTTGTCAGAACTGTAGACCTCCTGTGTGCTGGTGTTGGAGTGCAGGATTCAGCATTTCCTGTAGCCTTTGCTGCCGTAAAACATTGTTGATTTGTATCAGAACCCCTGGTGCTAACTACTTCAATGATGAAGTCAGCACCTCTCAACATTTCGTTCCTTAATGGAGTCTTCACTGCCTTTGTCCTTAACCATCCATTTTCATTAATTATTCAGAGGGAGAAAGGAAAACCGTTTGAGTGGGTAACACTGATCCAGTGTACTCAACCAATCTATGCAGTGTAAGTAATAAAATACCACGCACTCAGACAACACAATAAAAGAGATGGAGACAGAGGAGACGCTTGTTAAAAATGTAAGTAGACGGAAGCTACCCCAAGACAACAGAGGGTGGAGGAGGTGGCGGCCCGGGAGTCAAAAGACAGCAGCAACATCTTAGTGTCTAGGTTAATCAGCGAAACAGGCTGATAGCAGCTGGTGTTTCACTGGATCCGCCCGGTCCACGGAGGGCGCCTGTCTAGGCAGAGTCTGAGTCGATGTGATGTGCTCTCAGTGCAGTTGACTGATGCTAATTGGGATTAGCGCCCACTGCGCGAAAGTGACACTAGACATTCCAGGGCCCACCCATCCAGACTCCACTCACCACACTGTCAAACTCTGCCGTATGTTTTCTCTTCACCCCGAGGGCACTTGAAAGATGCAAGGCCCAAAACTCACGTTTAAATGCGAGCAATACAGAAAGAAAGTTTGGAAAGTGGAAACTTTGAAAGCCAATAGAGAAACCGATTCAGCCACCGAGTTTTGATATCAGTGAGAACAGGTCGCAGTGCACTTTTGAACTTTCACTCTCAATAAGGCTGGTCTCCCCTCCGCACCCCACCCACCCTCCAGGTCAGAAAGCCATAGACCATCATGCAAAGATAAAACCTCTCCAGCTCCCTCCCAGACTCACTGAGATTTTCATTGACAGGTGGTTTTTTCACCCTGACTTTGATAAACCCACCCAGCCAGCCAGTGTGAAAAGGTTGGAGAGAAGATGATTTCCTCTTCTAGATTTTGGAGGTGGGCCTTTCTGAGGTATTAGATCCATGAACTGGGAGTGCTGTATTGAATATTTTATCGACTGTCTGCTTGCCCCGTGCTGACCTGCCTGACATGCTAAGTTCCTGGCTCGCTGGAGACGCCACGTCGCTTCGCATCAGCTCAGCCACCCGTGAGGCTTCCCTGCATTTCCTGTGAATAAACTCACACACAGTGGGGGAGGAAGAGAGGCCAGGGCACAGGGGCACTGGGGCTGAGATGAGGAGAAAGCACATACACATTCTTTCTCTGAAGAACCCAACAGCCTACCTTGGCTACAGTATGAACTCCCCTGGTCAGAGCCCGATGAGTCCTCTGAAAGGATCTGGTGAATTGGAACGACCTGAAACCTCCATTTTAATAACGGCATCGTCGGCCATAAAGTTTGCAGAACTTGTCGGTAATGACATATGAACAAAAACACAAATAATCTAGGAAATAATTAATCATTTCCAATTACCAGAGCTGGGTTTGCCTGCCCCGCTCGGCTCATTGTATCAGATGAACTCAGATGTAAGGCAAAATTCTGGTGTGGGGGTCATTTGTCCATTTTCACTTCATCCACTATTTATATAGTTCTGCTAGAGTCACTTTGTTTTTCTTTTCTTAGGCAGAACAGCCCAGTTGCAGCAATCGTGGTTCCTGTCTGTAGACTTAGAGTCGGTACCTACGGAAGCGGCTTGCTTTGCTGCCGTGAGAAAACCAGGTGACCTGGTCTGTGTGTGAGCCAAGAGGCAGAGCCCGGTGGCACTAGTGCTGGCGCGTCACTTCATGTTTCTCCTTTGAGACCAAGAGAAGAGGAGCAGTGTCGTTCTGCAACACCTGATCCACAAACTCACCTGTCTCAGGGGGAGTGGTGTTTGTCGCCATCATGTTAAGGAATTTGTAGGTTTGTCCTCCATCAGGATCCACTTTCCTGTCTTCTTCGATGTGAGAATCGGGCGACAAACACGCAGAAAAACCCTTGAGAACGCCATTTGTAGAATTTGCATAAAGTCTCACAGTGACATTATGTTAGTGCTAGCATCAACGAGCCTGGCAAGTGAGAAAAAAGGACAACCGTGACAAGTGAAGTGTGTGTAGGGAGTTATGGTCTGAAGAAGTGTGCACCCACCCACTCACCCACCCACCCACACACATACCCTAGCACATTTCTATCCCTCTGTCTCTGGCTCATTACTAGCAGTGGGGCTTCCTAATGTGTTAAAACTCAGTGGGGTGGAAACGTCAGCCAACGGACTTTGGTCCCTCTACGGTCTTTACTTATTCATGCAAGCTCTGGCCTCTCCCCAGGACATGTAGCACTGACCCAGGAGGACAGCAGTGCCTCGCTAAAATGACCCCACATCAGGGTCATTCAGCATTTTCGGCCAGTGAGTTGACAAACAGCAGTGTCAGTGTAGCGCTCGGCTCTCCTGTGTTCTTAATTAAAAGTCTCAAGCTTCTGGTAAACTCTTCGTTTCCAGCCTTTGCTTTGCTCACGCTCCAGCAAGTGTGAATTTTCTGATAACCAAACCACTTGATGTTTAACAAATACACAACATCAGTGTGAGACAGAGCTGATGAGTCATTCGAGGCCAGCGGACCAGCTCCATCATCCAGCGGGAAGCTCAGAGCAGGACTGCTCCTCCTCATTATGAGGAATCAGCTGAGGTGGTTCGGACACATGGCCAGGACGCCTCCTGGTCACCTCTGCCTGGAGGATGTCCCACTGAGAGGACACCCCGGGGTTAGGGCCAAAACACAGTAGGAGCTGGAGGCTTTTTGGAGATTATTGCAGCTAAATGTCTTGTACGGAATACTTTTTGAAGGACGTTATAGATTTTCTGTTCTAAAACTGTCTTCTGTAGCATAATAATATCTAGCGTAGGCATGGGACAGTGATCCCCAACTCCCTTCCTCGAGGGCCGCTATCCATGTTTTACTGTTTCCCTGCTTCATCACACCTAATTCAATCAGCAGGTGGTTAGCAGGCTTCTGCAGAGCTCGATGAGCTGCTGAACAGGTGAATCAAGTGTGCTGGAGTAGGGAAACAGCTAAAACATGCTGGATCCTGGCCCTCGGGGATGTTGGGGTGAAGATATCCTGAACCAGCCGTGACACCTCCTCATCTCCTTTTTACTTTTTAATCTTTATCCTCCTTTCATCTCTTCCTCTCACACGTTCAGGCCCACTTGCTGTCATCCTTCTGCTCTGTCAACATTTTGTCATCCCATGCTGTCCCTCCCTACACCTGCCCTCCCTCGCTGCTCGTTGCTCTTCCACATTCGTAAGACAACCTTTGGGAAATTTCTCCAGTCTTGTTTGTTTATCTTACCAGCGCTCTCGTTAGCCGAGCCCCCTGACCACCGAACCCTGAACAACGTTTCTCTGTTGCCTCTTCAAAGCAGAGGGACTCTCAGACCTTCATGGCGGAGTTGGCTCCTGGCCTTTTTCCTGCACATTTACGACCGCAGAGGATGTAATTTACCAGGGAGGGTGTGCTCTGCTGCCTGGCGACGTGATGCTTCTGACAGTCTTATGGCTCAGAGTTGTCTGAGCGTAGTCGTGGGGAAGCTCAGCTCACATTAATCACACAAGCCTTCAGATCGCACTCTAATATGGAATAAAGAGCTAGTTCCCAGAGTACGTCTGACAAACTGCTCATGATTATCTTTAATTGGCAGCTTTTTATATATAATGGGAAGGTTTTTCTTTACTAAAACCTACACCAGAGTAAAAATCTCATGCGCTGATTTTACATTTTAGGTGAGTTGCATCTTGACTCTGGATGGTTTTGTGTTTCAAGCAAATCAATGGTGATTATAAGCTATTAAATACATATTTATAGTAGATATTTAAGGACTTTCATCTGCTTTACTAATGTGAGATAAGCTGTTCTAACTTCAGCAACAGTGAAACGGGGCTCAGATACTTTTATGTGCGTTTTAATAATTTAATTCCCTACTTAACCTCAGTTCTTTTTCATTGTATCGTCGCTGTTCACCATGTACATATGTGATGTCTGGAGTGTGATTAATGTACCTCATTGGTTATTTAGGGCTCTGTATTTTTTATGGTTTCACATTTTTATGGAGTTCTGCAGTCAGAGTGATCGGACAGGAGCAGAAAGGCCTGGCTGCGTTCGACACGCTGTTGTTTGTCCACGTGATTCGTCAGGCTAGAAGCTTCATGCAGATGAAAAGTCGCTGTGTTTGCTTAAGTTCACATTTTACATTTGCTCATGAAATCAAACAAGTGATGAAAGCAAAGCGAATTGTCTTGCCCAAGGACACAACAACAGCGACAGACTGAGCGTGGCTCGAACCTGCCACCTTCCGATTACGGGGCAAGCACTTAACTCCTCTGCCACCGTCGCCAAGTACAGCGCCCGTGCGGAAACTCGCCTAGGAACTTTTATCCGCTGCACTTAAATCACACAAATAAAAATTCTTTATTTAATGGAAAAAAATTAACCGATACGGTACGCAAGTGGACCGAACCGAACAGGCTGAACCAAAACGATTCAACACTCCCCCATGAACCGTTACACCCGTACTTAATACCAGAACAGTGTTAGTTGATAATGATTCGGGAAGACGGCGGGAACAAGGTCTAAAATTGTTAACAGTTTAAAAAGTTTCCAGCCAAAAAGGTGAGACTTGGCAGGTGTGATCCTGATCCTGTGGATGAACTGTCAGTGAAGATCTTCACATCACAACTACGCCTCTCCTGGTTCTGACTCCACTGTGTGACTTCTTGTCTTGTGAGCATTCGGGTTAATTTGGGGCCGTTAGGCGTTCACTCTGGAGAAAGTTTGATGTGGCATTTCAGTCATAACGTGAACAGCCACACAAAAAAATCAGATTTACTCTGAAGATCGGAATTGAGCATCAAGGACTGCAGTGTGAACGTATCCTTAGTCAGAAAAAGGCAGTCTCTTCTATGTCACAGGGAACCTTAGCATGCATGGCCCCGCCCACTTTGACTCATGATCACAGGAGAGAGCAGAGCATGTGTCAGCTAGTAGAAGCTAACCATTAGCATCTCCACAACATGGCGGAACACATTTGGGCTTGTGGACATGAAACCTCAACATTTACTCCGTTTATTTAATGAAGGCAGCAGAAGAGTCACATTGCTGTTAGCCAATCAGGCGAGGAGTTTGCATTTCATGAATATTAATGAGTAATGCTCGTAATCCTGTTGTCTCCGCGGACAAATTTCCACCCCTGAAACCGGCTCAAAAGTCATTCATTCATACAGAAAACTTAATAAAACAAATGAGTGAGTGAGACCTGTAGCCACTTTCTGTTTCATCTGTCACATGTCAGCTTCTCATCAATAGCTTTCGCTCTAATCTGCGTAGTGAAAGCAGCAGTTCAAAGCTGCTGATGTGCTCCAATAGCAGAGTAGTAGCACCAGTCTGCTGTTGGTGTCCATGAGAGCAGATCCCACCACCGTCCCTGAAACCTTCCCTTCCTGCTTCTCTGTCCACAGCCCTCTAAATCAGCCAGCTCACCTTAAATGATGTCACTCAGTCTCGACATATTTTCAGGGTTTTGGGGTATAAATCTCATTCATGGAGAACTTTAATGCTACATAGATGCTTTTTCTGCTGCTGTGGAAATAGAATGATGCTGAATAATCAAACAGCGGCGTATACTATGCATTCATTCATTTTCAAACCAAATGATTTATGGTTTACGTCCTTATTTCAACTTCTTCTGCAAACTCTGTGTGCTGCGTGTGATGCCAAACGGGTCACCTCAGATCTGTAGACTGTTCAGGCTGGAGTCTGATGAAAACATTTGAATTAGAATGAGAAGAACCAGACAGAACCATCAGACCTGGTGAGTGAACACAGGCTGAGATACTCGGCAGCTTTCTTAGACAAGGTAACAGAAATCAGCATAAGAAAAAACCTTCTGGACCAGGAGGAAACTGCTATTGAACGTCTCGGGTTTCTGAGTTTAAAGGACTAAATGGCAGAATTCCAGTTGAGTGTTGGAGCTTCTGGTTGCTAATTACAAAAACAGCCACTCTCTGTGATCTTAAAGCATTCCACCAGTGACTGCAGCACATCTTCTATGCATTCACGCTGGACCAACACTGCTCCCCGCTCCAGAGGTGTCCCCTCACAGCACCGCTGGACACCAGCGTGTGTCAGAGAGCCATTAAACGCTGTCTCTCATAACAAGATTCCCAGCTCACCTGAGCTGCTGCCTCTCTCAGGTCATATTTAATAAATAAAGCTGGCAGCACTCTCTCACACTCAGGAGTGTGGAGGGGTGTGTGTGTGTGTGTGTGTGTGTGTGTGTGTGGGGGGGGGGGGGGGGGGTCACTGTTATATCGTGCTAAAACGCTCCAAATGTAATTCAGCTGCAGGTCAGAACTTTAAAAGTGCAATTGCATGTGTCCCTGGGTTTGTATGTTTGTGTGTGTGTGTGTGTGTGTGTGTGTGTGTGTGTGTGTGTGTGTGTGTGTGTGTGTGTGTGTGTGTGTGTGTGTGTGTGTGTGTGTGTGTGTGTGTGTGTGTGTGTGTGTGTGTGTGTGTGTGTGGTAGAATAAGTCTGCTCTTAAAAGGCGTGCAGAGTGAAGGTCAGGTGATGGAGAAAGCGTTAACAGCAAACCTCTCTCTCCTCCTTCCATCCTGCCTCTTGCCCTCTCCTGCCCATGAAAGTTTGATGTTAGAATTAGGCTGTTGACTCATCTCGCACCTCTGTGCTCATAGTATTGACAGGCTGGCAGCAGAGCTCTGCGCAGCCTGAGATAGCCACTGAGAGCGCCAGCGCTCCCTCACTCTCTCCTTTTTTCCACTCTCCTTTTGCTCCAGCATCAGCCAACAGCATCAGAAGTGTTTTAACAGAGCTTTAATGGCCTTAGCCCCAAGCCTCACCTACACACACACACACACACACACACACACACACACACACACACACACACACAGGTTGGAAATAGCTTGCTGGTAGTGGAGGAAAAAGTGTTGAGCAGAAAAAAAGAGAGGGAGCTCGTTGTGCTGATGGAGGATGACATGCCCTCCTTTTCTCACCCCACCTCCCCCTCTTCATTCTTCCTCACCCGTGAACGTTGGCTCGTAGAAACATCCTCTCTGGGTTTTTGCTGCTGCTTCCTACATCTTTGTCTTGTTTTCACACTAATATAATCAAATATTCTGGGTTTTGTTTGATTTTGTTCTGTGTCCTGAGGTTGTTGTTCTTTGTGGATATTAAAGAGCAAGTCACCCCAAATCAATTTTTTTTTTTGCTGATTACCAATAAAAATGAGTGTCTAATTGTGCCGAAGACATGTGTAATCAAAAATTGGGCACTTTAGTGTATCTTCGTTAAAATTTAAATATTCTGCCTAAAACTGTCAGTGTTGTGCCCTCTTCAGGTAAAAAGTCTGCACTGCATTTTAATTTAAATTTACAATCGCTTTTGGCTAAGAGGTACACTATGACGTTAGCTGCTACATTATGATGTCACAATGTCGTCACGATGTCGTTGAGAGCCTGTCTGTGTATTTGTTAGCGGCTCAACCCTCTCATTCTGCCAGACAGTATTTGTTTCATTTTTTTCAAAACAGGAAGTGGGAGTAGAGTAGACTTTGGTAGGGGGTAACTTACTCTTTAACATTAATATTATAGAATCTTACCATCCAGTGGAATTTAAAATGCATTTTAACAACAACAATATATTTTCTAAATACTTTAGTTTTGCAAACTGAGGCACAAAATTACTTCATTTCCACTTTAATAACTTCCTCGTTAAATGATGTGTTTTCTAAAATGGTGAGCTTATTAATGTCATGTTGGGCTGTAATTGTTTGACCCACGACATAAAGAATCACCACTTGAGGCAAAAGGTAAGTAAAAAATGATTTATTTTGATATGTTGAGGTGTGGTTGAAGGTCTGAGATCAGGAGGGTCCAATAGAGTTCTGCAGCAGAAACAAGGATGAGTAGTTGGCAGATAAACGAGGATAATGCGCAGAGAGAGGAGGCTTACGGTTTCCTGAAGGTCTTGGAGCTGGAGAGGAGGGTGAGTCAGGTCTGGCTGAGTGAGGCGTCCTTGGGACGACGATGATGGCTGGAAGCTGAGCACAGGAGTCCAAAAGTGTCCGGGCTGGCAGGTGGGCGTTGGAGAGCGGGCGGGCGGGGCGAGCGGCGGGCGTGGCTGGCAGGCAGGGCTGATCCGGGGCGTCTCTTCATGAGAGGTAGAGTAGTTTAGTGGACGAGAGGTACCTGAGGGAGCCGGAGGACAAGCAGGTGAGTACCAGGGTTGCTGGAAACTCCAGAGGCAAACAAGACTGAAACAGGCAGAGCACAGGTTAGATACTACCCAATACTGAGTAATCATCCGACACTGGTGAGTTGTGACGCAGCTCCTTAAATCCCCTGACACTGATGAGGAGATTAGCAGCAGCTGCTCTCCGGGGCACGTCCACCTGCAGGCAGAAAGACTCAGCTCCAAACAGAGGTTAATGCAGCACAGTTAATGCAGCACAGACCGTGACAATTAACTCACCATTTTTAATACACATATCAACAAATTTCAACCAACATGCAGCAAAAGTTGCCCCAGCTATTAATATTCCAGTGGTTATGATCATTTATCAGCATTTTATTTAAGTCAATAAAGAATCTGTTCTGTCTTTTGGGAAATGAAAATTATTTACAGAAAAGTTTCCTTAACTGTTTCCTGTGTATTCTGAATGAGGTTTAAATTTTCAAGAATGATGATTTTTAACCTTTTCATGTGCAAAAGACTTTAATTAAAAACATGTTTTATAACACTCGCAGTAGTATGGATATTTGTTTTCAGTGTTTTGATGGAATCTTGAGAGGAAGGGACTACATTTTTACTTTGCATTAGGTGGCACTCGTTTTTTCGATATACAATATAGATCCACCCTATTCAATAGGCGGCCCAAGGGCCAGAACTGACCCATTAGTGATTTTGGACCAGCCCATTGCCCACATGCCTCATAGTAATGAATTTGTTTGAAATCTGAGACTTAATTGTAAGAGCAACAGTTAACATTTTGCAACATTTTAAGGCATGGCGCTCCACTGTTTTTTTTCCCTGCTGATAGAAAGTTCAAAGTCCAAAAGATAGGAGACACAAGGTTGATGGCAAAAAGAGAAAATTTTATGATGGCTGGACTGATGAGTATGTACACATACAAAATGCTGAGGGAAAACCTATGTGCGTTATCTGTTCGGCATTTGCTTGGTAGATAGAGAACACAATGTGTGGAGGCCTTTCAAGACGCCTCATGCCAATTCGATAATGAATATCCACCAGCTACAGGGGCTCGAGAGACAAAATAAAGACACTGACTCTGAACTACTAATGAAGTTGTGTGATTTTCACTTGAAAAGCTACAACATTGCATGCATACTGACTAAAAAGAAAAGGCAATGGTGCAATACAAGAGATGGAGTGCATGGAAATGAGCAGACCACTAGCAAAAGCCTTATGACAATTTGGTATAAAGAGCCAAAGAAGGCAATTAGGTAATTTCTGATGCAAATATAGAGAAGTTTGATAATTATTCAGAAATAAAATGCAGGAGAGCGAGGGCATCCATCAAGTCTGGCAAGCCATTTTAAATATATAGTCTGGCCACGATCCATAGAGAGAGCTGCTCGTGATACAGAGTCTATGGTTGTCTTTAAACTGTCTCTGCAAGAAACTGGACAGCACTAGCACCAATCAGAGCAATGAACAACTTGAAAAGTGTATTAGTATGGTAATCAGTCAATGGAAGTTGACGCAGTGACATACGTAATCAAAGAAGAAGATACATAGGTTTTCTAAATAAAATACTTTCAAATGAGTGCCTTTCCTGAGTTGATGGCGTCTTTGTAGTTTTTCTCTGACAGCTTGGCTAAGCCCACCTAGTGTTTCTCTACAAGCATAGAGTGTTGTGACTGGCCCAACCTAAAACTGTTGGGGCCAGTAGTAGATCTGCAGTTACAATTTAGCGTGGCTAGACTGACCTGCAGAGCAAACGACTTTTTTGCTACTGCAACAGTTTGTCTGGCTAGTATCCATCACCTTTTTCTGCAAACATAGAAAATGAGTATTTTGCCAAAGTTTGGTTATATAACAATTTAAAACCAAAAGCCTACTGGTCTTGCCTTATTTAGACAAATGGTAGCACTGGGAAATGTCTTGTGTGTCCCTTAAATCTGGTTCCTCTGATCTGCAAAAGCTTCTAAAATCCCAAAGCTGACCAAACCATTTTTTTATCCACTAAGGCAAAGTGTGGCAGTTTTTATGTCATTTAGACCTACACCAAACCTAAAAAGCTACCAGCCTCTGACTTTTTATTTTCATTTATTGGGTGGAAAATTCTTCAGGTTTGCTTATTTTTGTCATGCCTCTTTATGAAATCAAGATCCTGTCAGACAAACTTGCATACAAGAGTTTAAAATGAAAAACCCAATGGAAATGTGCTGTGAGATGAGCCTGAAACTAACAATGATGTCCAGTAAAAATTAGGACATTTAATAGTTTATAATAATAATTGTTGCTGATGAGGTGATACTGTTCTGTGTCAGTGTCCTTCTGTTCACACCACCCTGCTGCCACTTGCATGACAACCCCCTCCACACATACACACAGTGTTTCCATCTGTGTGTGTGTGTGTGTGTGTGTGTGTGTGTGTGTGTGTGTGTGTGTGTGTGTGTGTGTGTGTGTGTGTGTGTGTGTTATAGTGTTACCGTGCTAGCTCAGCCCAGTCAAAGGCGACGCTCATTAGCAGAGTTTAGCCACATAGGCGCTGAATGGGTCGGCTTGTTGACACACACAATAGGATCAGCCCCCTCGCACTCAAACGACACACATACACACACAACAAAGTCATGGCTCCAGCCTGACGCATCAAGCCAGAATTACCCCCCACTCACCCCAATCTGGGCTTATGTTTGTGTGGGTCAGAACAACCTATTGGGAACGGTGCCCTCGTTCCTTTGCACAGTCAAATGTCACACCTCCTTGCACCACAGTTACACACTTGTTTACATTTGGCACAATTTGATACATTTTATACTTGAACACACCCCAATTTGTGGAGTTCATGTGTTTTATCATAAATATGAATTTGTAATCACAGTGGTCTCTGCACAGAGTTTAAAAAGTAGAGTTGGCCTATTCGCTGTGCTCCTAGCTTGACTCACGAGATCACAAGATTCCTCGAGACTTCAAAGGTCACTGTTTGTTTATGCAATCCGCCATTAAACCAAAAAGAAGGAAATCTCGTTTTATATCATATATGATGTTCT